GGGGGGGGTTGTTTATTTATCGCCTTTATTTATTTATTAACGTGTTTTTCTCCCGCGGCGCGGTGTCCCCCGGCCGCCTGTCGTTTGCCTGTTGGCGGTGGGAACACCCCGAGGCGATTCCTGACGCCCCGGCATACAGGCCCGTGCCCCCGGGGTCGCCTGCTGCCCAAATCCATCAATGGTCACATCGATCGGGGCGTTCATGACGGGGATTCGCCTTTTTTTCTTTTATTTCTCTCCAATAATAATTCTAGTAACGTTGCCTGATCCAAGCAGAATATGAGGTAATAGTTTTCCTTTAGAAATAAATCATAACAATAAAATAAATTGCATTTGTGTCACGTGTGTTAAAAGCTGGTAGTCGCAGTYGGTAGCCTCCTGGCCGGCGGTAAAAACACTAAGGCTTGAGGAATCCCGGATTTTCCCCTTCCCGCCCCTTCCTGATCCTGCTCCCGGTGTCGGGCCGCCCAGGGCCTCGTGCTGCTCTTCCCTGGGCACCTGAGGGGCTGCCGGGGGTTAAACAGCCCCTTTGCACCACGTACCCGCACCCACAGGGCAGCAGTAGCTGGGTCTGCTCCATCCAAGGGGGCCTCTTAAAAATCTTGAGTGTTTTCCTTATTCTAAAATGAAAACACTGTAGTTTTCATTTCACCAATTCTTGCTGTCACGCTGAGTAGTTGGTTTGGGTGAAAAGCAGCAGAACAGGAACTTAGACCCTCTAAAGCAGAGAAAATAAAACTGTGGTACCAGGGGCTGCCTGTGGAAAATTGTAGTTGCTGATAGGAGATTTTTTTTTTTTTTTTTCTCCTCCTGGGAAAATTCCCTGTCTGGAGTACCCACCCTGTGCGTGAAGCTTTTTTTTTTTTTTTTTTTCTCCTCCTGGGAAAATTCCCTGTCTGGAGTACCCACCCTGTGCGTGAAGCAATCCTGCTGCAACGTGCGCKTCTTTTATGAACATGCAGTATCAGTGAGTCAAGGCAGAATTGTATCGTCCTTCCAGTTATTGCGGGCAGGCTCCGAGGAGCCACGATCCGTTTTAAAATCCCGTTTGCAAGATCAAATGCCCTAATGTTGGTGTTGTAATCCAGAATATTTGGAAAATTCGTGGGTTGTTATTTTGTTTACGTCTTGCGCTTTCACTTTAGCTGGCGAGCTGAGAGCGTTCCCGTTACTTACAGAATAGCTGGAAGACGTTGTTGGAAGACCAGCGTGTGCCAAAGCATCTGGTCTTGTGTTGGTTTCGGAATTTATAAAGTATTAACACAGTTGTCATAAATTCACAAATTCACTGCAACTAGCTTTAAAAATCCGTGCTTGTCAGACACTTTAGATGCTCTCTTTTCCAACAGCTTGCTTTTGCAAACATAATTCAACAGACTTTCTCTTTAAGTTTCATAAGTGTTTTAAGCTTTAAACAGCTGGAATTAGAGTTTGCTGGTTTTCTAAACTGTCTTTTTATCACAGTTATCTACTCTGAAAATGCAGAGAAAGGATTTAGGTTTTGAAAGCCTTCCTTTTAATGAATACTTCTTTTTAATGAATACTTCTTTTTAATGAATACTCTTGAAGAAGAGAAGCTGACAGTGGGGAAAAAAAAAGGAAAGTTTGGAATTTATAGTTTTTATATATTATTATATACACACTTTAAAATTAAACTTTCTCACAGATCTTACGTTAGAAAAGATATAGAGTAGAGAAACAAGTCAGAACAGTTCACTGACAACAGATAATATTTTATTGCTTCTTTAATTTTAAGTCTAGAGTACACTTTGAAGAGCGTGATTCTCATTCATTTGCCTTCAGCAAGCTTAAGGTCACTTTTTAAAAGTAACTTAAGACCATTGTGTTTATGTTTAATTTGGTGCAGTTGGCACTTTACAGCAGTCACGAATAAAAAAGATCTGGAAAAATATGTAAGTTTTAATATGTAAACAAAGGTGAGAGTCCTCCCTCTGAACAGTATTCTGTGTGCACGTAAGCAATTATATAACCTGCAGATTAGAGTAGCTTGCTAAACTATACCTAACAGTGGGAGTATTTTATTAGGAGAAAAAAAAAGCCAAAAGACATAATTAAAAGAGAGATTTTGATTTTTTGTTTTTAAGTCCCTGCATCCCTAGTGCTGCCGCCTTGGGTTCCTGTAAAGCGTTRTGTATGTCGTGTCTTGCAGGTTTGCAGTCGTGTCCTTATCTAAAACATTTTGTTGTCTTCTGTTGCACCGGGCTGAAAATCTCTTTTAAGTGGGAAATGACCATGATGTTACATCAAAGTAAACGAATCAAGAAACAGCCTTTTTATCTGGTCACTTACATTGTAACTGKGTGAACTGTGGCTTGTACTGAGTAAATCACTTGAACCAGCTCTACAGTGTAAGCTTTATAGTGGCTTTTAATCCAGGAGCCGACCTTGATTATTRAAGGATCGTGATGTCTCTTGGAATAACTCTCGCAGGGCGCTCRCAGCTGCTCTGGCAGAGATCGCACACGTCCCAGTCTGGCTGCCTCTATCCAGCAAGTTTCTCCCTCATCCCGGATCGGGATTCAGGGCCCATTCCTGTCTTTCCCATGTAGTTTTTGGTGGTGGTGGCTTGCTGACTTGTTTGTTTTTTAATCTTTTCCAGCCTTTGCAAGGAAAGATGTCAAACAATGCAGTTTTGCATCGTGTTTGTGTTTCTAAAGCTGGCGTGTCAGGCTGGTAACTGGGTTTCCCCCAGATCCTGCGCCAAACCGTAATGCTGATTGCCARCTTATTTCCAGATAAAACTTTCCAGAACCTAGGTGATTTTTCCAAGTTACTATCAATGCTTTGATGTTATATCTGTTAATTTAGACTGGGATTTCAGGAGAGCCTGAGAAATTTAGGCACAAATGTCATGGTGACAGCTGAGTGCTTAAATCCCTGCAACCCTTTGAAGCTCCCAGGTTTTGCGTCCTTGACACATTCTGTACAAGTTTACTGAGAATTGGCACCAAAAGCTTCATTAATGCCAAACATCTTGGGTTGCTACCTGGAATAAACATTTAGAGCCATGGTTTGGAACAAGTTCTCAACATCAATTAGCTAACCCTGTAAAATTGGTGCGTGTCTTTGCGAATGACGTGTAAGGTGTTGTGGGACAGGCACGTACTGGTTCATATGCTGTGAGCTGTTYCTTGCACTTAGTTAGGATGAATTGTCATTTGCGTGCAATTTTGCAGATGCGCTGGCAAGTTAAAAGCTATTTCTGAGAACAGAAACTGTGTAATCCATTACTTCATGTTCTTAGTGTGATTTTTCTAAACCAAGTTCACAGGCATCTCAGGTATTTTTGTTTTCATTTTCTCCGTTATCTGCAAATAGAAACCGTTAAGCACTTAAATCACAGTTAAACTTGGGTTTTTGGAGGCCCTGATCATGTCGGTGCAATCACTGCCCTGTGCACTATT